GAATTTTCATAACCCTAGTTGAACTGGGGGATTTCAATTAAATCTATTTGGAGAAAGGGAGTATAATTTCTTTACATTAAGCTCTAAGTCTTAAGACATATAACCCAAGGAGTACTCTATATAACCCACCACTCATTTGTCTAAAGTTTTAAAGGAACTCTTTATGTTGTACATAAAGCTAAAAAGTAGTGGTAGAATGATTCTCAAAAAGTACTATATAGAGATAGGAGTGTATCTGTCTATGTGTATAGATGGGGCTCAGTACTATATTAAGAGAAAGTGTTTGGGGAAAGGAATGTGAGAATATAGCCTGTTCACCTCCTTTAGCCTCCTTATTTGTCCATGAAACCCCTCAACTAACTTTGACCTAAATCAGGGTTTCTCAAACCCTGCAATATTGACATTTTAGGCTGGCTGATACTTTGGGGGGCAGGGGTGTCCTTTGCATTGTAGGATGTTTAGCAGCATCTTTAGGCTCTACCCACTAAGTACCTCTGCATTCCCCAGTCGTCATGACAACAAAAATTGTCTCCAGGCATTGCCAAATGTCTGTCCCCTGGGAGCCAAATTTGCCTGGGTGCAAACCACTGGCCTAAGTCATGCCTCCTTGTTGTGTAAAGACTCCCAGACTTTGCTCAGATGCATCAGATAAAAAGAGGAGACAAAAATACGCTTTTTCTTCATTCTCCATTTTAGGAGAAATCAGAGCCAAACCCATCACCCACCTGCAGGAACTCTTGGTAGTACTAAGCCCCATCTATTGCAAGGGACTTAGGATAGAAATGGGAATACGGAGGAACTACTAACCTTCTTGAATTCATCCTGTGGCTACAAAAAGAAGGTGTGTGAAATAAGTAAATGTGTTACTTGCCCACAATTTTCACAACACTGCCCTGTAGCAGTGTTTTTCAGACATTTTAGTTGAGATATTTAAGTTCTCTGGGAAAGCTGGGGTGTGACCAGAAAATCACAGCCTAGTCTGAAAAGCACTTCTTTGAAGCACTATGAGAGATTGGCCCCATCAGGAAACTTACAAGTTTATTAAAAATGATCAAAAGCAGTAGAACTGTGGTTGAGTCATGCTATAAAGGATGTCTTCCCTTCAGGGAACTTCTGCAACGTTCCTCTTCCCTACCCTAACAAAATTGCCATCCACCTTGAGTCAGTCTCTTGTCAAACTGGTACCCAAAGAGAAACGGGTCCTTGTGCCAAGTAACCTGTAAATCTACAAGATAAACACATCTTCATGCAGCAGTTTTACTTGATGACAAGTAGAGCAGTTTTATGGTAATACAAGCCTAAGTGTTACAGAGTAAAGGAAACATTTTAAAGATAAAATCAGATTTTTGAGGCAGGCTATTTTATGGAAACATTCCTGCAGGAGTTGGAGAGTTTGAGAAGCAATGATGAAATACTCTTAAGTGAGCCTGTTCTACTTTGCGGAATAGCTTTGGTTGTTACCAAGTCTTTTCTTAATACTGAACAAAAGGCACTGCTCTTAAATGACCATCTTTATAAATAAACTTTTTTGTTATTCCTAGTTAGCAGAAGAGGCAGATCTGCATTTATCCGTTGCCTTCCTCAACCTGGACACCCTATGTATTTCAGCCATCTGCATATGAAGTCGTTCCTGGAACTGGTTCATGTCACATCATGCATTCCAAAGACCCCAAGAATAGAGGGTGATGTGACTAGTTTCTGGGTAAAATGGAACAGGAACATTCCATTACCTGGACACTTAATTCTATTAATGTGGAGGAGAGTTTAATTATTCTACCAGCTCATCATAATTAGACTTGTGATGGAGTAACAGCCTAAGCTCCCCTTGTCATCAGCTCTCTTGACTCAGTAGTTAGGCATTTACCCTTTCAAACCTAAATATAAGAATTTATAAATGCCATATTACTGATTTTAGCCCAGTTTTCCTATAATAAGATCAGATTCTGTTTATATCTATCCTTTCCTTGTCTTCAATCGTGTAGGAAGCACCATGGTGAGTTAAAGGGAGTGAAAGAAAGCAAGTACAGGGGGAGCACCTGGGTGGCTCAGTCAGTTAAGTGTCTGCCTTCGACTCGGGTCATGGTTCCGGGGTCCTGGGATCGAGGTCCGAGTCGGGCTCCCCGCTCAGCAGGGAGTCTGCTTCTCCCTCTCCCTCTGCTGCTCCCCCTGCTTGTGCTCACTCTGTCTCTGTTAAATAAATAAATCTTTTTAAAGAAAGTATAACTAGAGCAAGAATAATGATGGGGAGCAGGATTACGAGGGACGTGGGAGGGGCTAAAGAGATTGGTAGGGGCCAGGCCCCACAGCTGGTAAGTCAGTCTAAGAGCAATGGGAAATCATTATTACTCATCATTATCATTCTACAAGAGTGATGATAGAAGAATCATGTGTAATAACAATCATTGGCTGATAAGGTAAGGACAGGGAATGTACTTGGGGTTAATGATGTCTAGAGGTCACATTAGTGAGTGAAGCACTGAGGCAAGAGATGGTGAACAGCTTGGTCCATGAAGTGGATGGGATCAAGAGATGCTTGGCAGCTAAAATAGAAGTTGGTGATGCCTTAGATCTGGAGTTTGAGGAGAGGGAAATACCAAGGATGACTTATAGGTTTCTGGGTTGCAGTAACTGATGAGTGGAAGTAGCACAAGATAGGGAACACTGGGAAAGACTCAGATGTAGGGAAGAGAAGGTGATGAGTTCAGTTTGGGTTGTGTTGAGACATCTAATGACTGTCAAGTAGGGCAGTTGGAAATACTGGTCCGGAGGTCAGAGGAGAGAGCGGAGCTAGAGATTTAAATTCTCTGCCTGTTTTGGTAGTTATTAATGCAGGGGGTGAGCATGAAACTACCTGGGTCCAGCATTTGGAGTGAGAACAGGGCTTAGGACAGCGTTGTGGAGTTCCAACATTGAATGGGTATGTAGTGGAGGATGAACTTGCAAAGGGAGCAGAAGGTATAGATAGGTCAAAAGTAAATGCTGTGTGTTTCCTCCGCAAATGGAGGGAAAAGAGATTCCAGTGCCCAGTGATGCTGTTGAGAAGTCAAGTAAAGTGAGGGCAAGAAATGTCCTTTGGGGACATCACCAGTCACCATAGTGAGAGCTGTATCACTGAGACGAGGGTGGAAACTAGAATAGGAAGGACTGAGGAGCAGGGACACAATATGGAGACATTGAATCTAATTAGGTTTTTATTTTGCTCCAAAAGGGAGGGCAGGGTCACTAAAGGGTGATATAGGGAAATTGGTGGGGGAAATCCCATTGAGAAGGATGTTGACCATACATGAGAAGAGTGGTGATCAGTTTTCTAAGTGACAGGAGAGAATCCAAAGCATAGGTGGCAAGATTTGGATATACTCACTTCTTCAGTCAGCACTTACTTATCTGAGCAACTAGTATATGCCAAACTCCATAACAGGTGCCACGGATAGAGCAGTCAACAAACCAAACACAATCCCTGACCATGTGGAACTTTTACTCTAGTGGTAAGAGACTAGCAATAAATGTGTAAATAACATAATTTATCTGGTGTTAAATGCTGTGTAAAATATTACATAGGGAGTAACAAGGATAGAAAGCTTTTGAAATTGTGCTCAGTGCCAGAAATCATATTTTTAAATTGTGGTAAAATACACACAAAATTTGCCATCTTAACCATTTTTAAGCGAACAGTTCAGTAGTGTTAAGTAATATTCACATTGTTGTGCGACCATACTCCATGACTTTTTCATCTCACAAAATTGAAACTCTATAGCCATTAAATAACTCCTCTTTTCACCCTCTCCAGAGCCCCTGGCCACTTCCGCTCTATTTTCTGTCCTAGGAATATGCTTACTTTAGATACCACATATAAATGAAATCATACCACTATTTCTTTTTGTGACTGGCTCATCTCAGCATAATGTTCTCAAGGTTTATCCATGTTGTAGCATGTGACAGGATATCTTTCCTGTTTATGGCTAAATAATATTCATTGTATGTATATACCACCTTTTAAAACGAATAATTTTTTAGCGCAAGTACCCTAGTGATACTTAAATATAAGTATTTAAAAATTCCTTTTTTTTTTTAATTTGAAGCTCAAGTTTATCTGGGCATCCTGTATTATTTTATCTGGCTATCCAAAAGTGAAAACACAGGCTTGGTCAATGAGGGTTACAATCTTTTTAAACTCTGACTCCTTTCTCCAGTGCTAAGTCTCTAAGTAACGGAGGCCTAAGGAAGGGAATGAGGAGAAGGTTAAAAGCAAACAAGATGCTAGCAAAAGCAGAGAGAAAACGTTAACACATGATCGGGACAAATTGGCTCTTCATTAGGGGAGAGCTATATTTGCCTACTAACACGTCAGCGTGCACTGTCAGAAAGCAAAGGTCTCGTGGGTTCTGGCTTCCGTTGTCACTGAGAGTCCGCAGGCAAGTTATGTTGAGGCTGTTTTCATATTTGTAAACTAGGAAAACATTGACTTCCTAGGGTGGTTGTGACTTGGATAGGATAACGTTCAAAGAATCCAGCGTCAAGCCAGTACGACCTATTGCTCCTCTCCCCGTACTTTTGCTGCTTCTGTGGATTTTTAAAGAAATAGGGTCAGAGTAAGCCACCAGGGCTTTAAAAAGCCTGCTGGTGGCTGACAATTCCCCTGGCCCTCACCCCTCCTGCAAGACTTGGAAGGGCTTAATTGGAACATTTTGTTCCTAAAATTCTTCCCGGTCTATTGGCAAAATTTCTACCATATGGGCTTGGCTTAGTCGCTTAAGGTTTTGAACCTTGCTGAAAATCAAAGCGCATCAGAAGGTGTGGCTACTACCAGTCTTTTGGGCTTGGTCTGGGAACAGGCCCGGGCCAGGCACTAGGCGGGTGCGTGAGCAAGATCCCGACTTCTCGTGAAAGCCTCCAGGCTCGGCTGGCTGGCCCTGAGGCGAGGCGGGAAGCGAAGCGTCTCACCCGCCCGCGGGCGCCGAGCAGCCCCGCCCCGGCCCGGCGGCCCCGCCCCGCCGCTTCTCCGCCGGCTCCCCTGTCCAGGGCCCCCGGCCGCCGGCCGCATGGGCGCGGGCTGGGAGCTGGGGGCGGTGGCTGGCCGCTCGCTGCTGCTGTGCGCCGCGCTGCTGCTCGCGGGCTGCGCGCTGGGCCTGCGCCTGGGCCGCGGCCGGGGGTCGGCAGACCGCGGGGTGCTCGCCTGGCTCTGCTACGACGCCCTGGTGCATTTCGCCCTGGTAAGTGCGGGCGCCGCCACTCTCGGGACCCTCCCCTCCCTGGTCGCGGGGTGTTCCCGGAAAAGGACCGGGACCAGCCGACCGCCCCACGCCCTGCAGCGGGCGGGCGGTCTGCGGAGACCGGGAGGGGCCTGGAGGCCGCGGTGCTGCCCCTCTCGGTCCCCTCAGAATGAGCGCTAACCTTCCTGGGGGTGCCAGTTCCTCTGCCACATTAAAAACGAACAAACAAAAAAACCCTCTGAAATGGTTATTTCTGTACTGTGTTATGTTAGTGTGATTGTAAGCCATCCAGAGGCCTTGGCTTACGTGACCTGCACATAAATGTTGAACGGAAACTATTTGAGAGCGAGAGAGGTCTGGAGTGCCCCAGGGGGAGCAGGGAGAGGTGAGAAGGCGCACTGCGCAAAGTCCGAGCGCGGGTACTGAAACAAAACATCCCGCGTGCCCCGAGTAATCACCATGTTTTGGGTAATGACTGTATGCCAGGCACAGCACCGTGTTTACTATTTCCGATCGTTACAACACCCTGTAATCTACTTACGGTCCCTGTTTTACAGAGGAGAAAACACGCCGTGCAAAGTTAGGTGACTTTACAGGGCCACGCAGCTGGCATGGTTGAGTCAACAGAGTCTGGCTCCAAAGCTTGCACTCTTTGAATCATGCCCGGCTTTGGGAACCGTGTCCCTAAAAATTCAACCCACTTTATAAATAACCAGGAGGTTAGTATTTAAGGGAATTCTGTTGAAATGCCCCCCTCCTCCATGCACACACGTTTTTTAAAGTTTGTGAGTTTTTTAAAGATTTTGTTTATTTATTTGACAGAGAGAGCACAAGGAGGGGAAGCAGCAGAGGGAGAGGGAGAAGCAGACCCCCCCCCCAGCAAGGACCCCATATTGGACTCCATCCGAGGACCCTGAGATCATGACATGAGCCAAAGGCAGTCGCTTAACAGACTGAGCCCCTAAAGGCTTTTGTTGTTGTTGTTAATAACTATGCCAAAATAGCTTTTTTGCAAATTTGATCTTGCTTTGATCTAGGCCAGCCTGTGGTTGATGTGAAGCCAAAGTCTATAGTATTGAGAAAGGAGAAAACAAAGTTATAGTAATCACTTAGGTCGCTAAATGTTGAGCAGTTGGATATGTGCACATACCAGGTGTTGCTGGGATGTGAAATTCTTTCTTTCCTAAAAACTTACATGTGGAAATAAGAGATAGTGACTAGGTCCTTCAACCTGATTTTTTAAGCTGTCATTGGACACAGGTCTCCCAAAGAACAGGGGCAGTAAAAGAAGTGGCTAGCCCTCTTAAAGAAAATGTAGTATAACATATTTCAGACGTACAAAAATGTATAATGAGACTAAAACATATACCCATATGCCCACCTCCTAGTTTAAAAAAATTAAGTCTGCTTTTCAAGCACAACTGTTACAGGTAACATCACACACATTTCCATTTGTGGCACCTTCAGGTTTGAGCAGATGCATGCAGTCATTGCTCCTGTCTCCGCCCACCCCCTGTTCTGAAGGAAATGTCCCTCCCACAGCCCTGTTTTACCTGTCCCAGATGCAGAAGAGTCCACTGTATGAGCGCACCATACCTTAGTTTTTTTAATTCTAAAAAGCACATTTTTTTCACATATTGGAACAATCAGTGACATAAAACCACTGTGGGCTATTTTATTGATATTTATATCTGCGAATTTGGGATGTATCTTATAACTGATGATGAAATATGATAACTTAGCTTATATTAGTAGGTATGTTTTTATTTTGCTGTTTACACACCATACTTCAGCCAGCATCTCTGTACACATATCTTAGAGACTGGTGAGGTGGGCGCTCGAATGAAGCTTAAAGCCTGCAAGAAAAACACGTGCCCTCGGGATCTTTGGCTGGGGTTTTACCCAGCCAAATACCCAGAAATGTGGCATAGGCAAAGACTGGGAAAGAAAGCCCCTCCCAGAGAACTGGAACTGTGACTCACTTGTTCACACTGGAACCTGAGCTGCCTCTTCTTACTCCTTTAAACTTCTCAAAAGGGAGGAGACATTGGGATGCGTTGGCCACCATCAAATGCAGAGCTCCTAGCTGGACAGCGTATCCAGCCAAGCATTCCCAGAGGCACTTCGGCTCCCCGATGTCCAACCAGCATGTGATTCCCCGGGGCTGTGGCCCGGTTGGTTGTGGCCAGGGTGAAGGACATGCTGATTTCCCACCAGTGCACCTGGAAGGAGTTCTGGCAACATACATAGAGAAATCAGTGGTTTGGTTCACCGTTCCTCAAAGATGGCCATGGCATTTTGTGCACGGGTGCTTCATGGTTTTTCCCCCTCATCTGCAATCTAAGTAGAGCATTCCAGGCATGGCCAGTGCAGGGAGGCAGGATATGGATGTCTGTGTTTTGGGATGCATCTCCTGATTGACTAGAGCACAGGGTCTACCTAGGGAAGAAGTGAGGACAGGCCAGAAAGGCACTTGAACGACAAGTAAGACCTTGAATTTCCTTCTGTAATAGAAAGCTGTTGAAGAAAGATCTCAGGCAAGGAAATAGCATGGTCAAAGCAGATCTTTCCAAAATAATTCGGTGGTATTGTGCTAAGTCAGGAATTGTAAAGGGCCTGAGATTGTACCCTTCTTACAAATTAACAAGTTAGCCTGGTTGATTCCCCCAAGTGCCACAGGGCAGCACAGTGAGGGCCCGCTGGTACCTGCATATGCAATGGGGGCATTTACCGGCAAGGAACTGCAAAATTAGGCTCCTGTCTTATCTGGAGTTGCTGGTGACCTGCTCATCCTTCTTGAGAGAGTCCTTATCTTTACTCAAGAATGTAAACAAATCTTCTCTGGGAAGGAAAGACAGGTCTTTATCTTTACTACTCTGGAACATCTCAGGAGGGAGAGATCTCTTTAAGCTTTACTACCTTGGAGTGTCTTCTTATATAAAGATTCTTCATTCGGTGTAAATGCCTGTGCTCAGACACCTCAGATGGTGCAGGAATGCGAGGGGTACATGGAGAATTCTCTCCCAGCACAGTGGATGGTGGATTGGAAAGCATAGTGAAGGGGCAAAAAGATCAGCCAAAAAGCAAGTGCAGCATTTGGGCAGTGAGATGAAAGAGAGCTGAGCTAAGGTGAAATTGGAAGTTAAAATGGGGAAGAAAGCTAAATCCAACAGCCCTTCCAGGGGAGAATGTTGTTAAGTCAAAGTGACGGCTGGTACGTTGTGGGTGGAGATGATGTGGATACTGTTGACAATGTTAGTGAAGACAGGAAGGTCAGATTTTAGAACTATGCGTCTGGAGTTCTGGTGTGTAGTTGAGGGGAAATGGCCAGAAGGCAGTCGAAACTGTAAGACAAGCTGGAGAGACAGATTCAGGGCAGAGTGGAGGGAGTTGGACGTTTTTACTGCGTTGGAGGAGACAGCAGGAAGCTCTGGGAGTGAGCAGTTTCTGAGCAAGAGAGAACAGAAAGGTGAAAATGCTGAGGAATGAGAACAGAATCTTTAAAAATGTCTAAAAATGTGTATATATTGAACAGGCAGGAAGAGGAAGAGCCAGGAAGGGGAGACAGTGGGCCGGACCAAGAACCAGGATAGTGCTGGGTCCAGGGACCCAAGGGAAGCAATGACAAGATCACTGTTAATTGCTGCAGCACCATTTAAAAGTAAAAAAAGGTGAGGGCTGAGCCGGAGCCTCTGGGTCCAGTGATTAAGCGTCTGCCTTCTGCTCAGGTCGTGATCTCAGGGTCCTGGGGTCGAGTCCTGCTTCGGGCTCCCTGCTCAGAGGGGAGACTGATTCTCCCTCTGCCCCTCACCCTGTTCTGTGCTTGCCCCCGTGCTTGCTTGCTCTCTGTCTCTCAAATAGATAAATAAAAATCTTTAAAATAAATAAATAAATCATTGGTAAGGGTGCCTAGCTGGCTCAGTTGGTGGAGCATGCAACTTTTGATCTCAGGGCCCCATGTTGGGTATAAAGTTTACCCCCAAAAATAAGATAGTCATTGGTAAAAGTATTGTTTGAGAAACTAAGGACTTAGCAAGTAGGGTAGAAAAAGAATGGAGGCAGCATATGAAAGACTTTTAGAGATTTGGTGGTGGGAGGAAGAGGAGTGTAGGAAGGTAGCTCAAAGACGTAGAAGAAGCAGGCAAGGACTTTGGGTTCTGTTTGAGATGGGAAGGCCTGGGAGCATCCGTGAGCAAGAGCATCATCAAGGGAAAAGTGAAGGGGCAGACAAGTCAGCTCTGCAGCACTTACTGTCTGGTGCTGTACCTGGCTGCGTGAATTAACCTACCACAGAGCTGAATCTGCCTGAATCTACTCCTTGTCCTCAGATCAAACCCCTCTGATTGACTTGTTCCTCCCACACTTCCTTCATTGAGAGCATGACTTAGGCTTGTCCTTCAGGATGAAGGACAGTTGTCATGGAAAACTCGGGCTTCACCTGTCCCCATTCATCCTACCTTAACACCCATGGGTCTTCCTTGAAGAAGTCCCAAGTCCCAGTGGCTGCTCAAGTCCCTATTAATTTGTGTATTCTGGACATTACCCTTTTCCATTTAGCATCACCATCTGTTCTCACCTTCCACGACAATAACTACAGCCTCCGACTCTCGGGATTCTAAAAATTTCTTCCTCCTCCTACTTGCTTTATCATTAGGTCTCAAGTTGCCTTTTAGTGCACAGTCTGTTACTGTCTCCTGTTTTCCCTTTCCTTTTTTGGCATTGTCTTTTTTGTCGGTTTTGCTGTAAAATAGATCTCCTCTCCGGTAAATGCATTTATAGCCTTCATGCTACTTGGCAGGCCTGGTGAATCACAGTTGGTTTCGCTATCTGTTAATGGTAAAGCTTTGTGATGGTTAATTGTCTGTGTCAACTTGACTGAGCCATGGAATGTCTAGTTATTTGCCCACATGTTATTCTGAGTGTTCTGTGAGGGTGTTTTGGATAAGATTGACATTTAAGGGGTGCCTTGCTGGCTCAGGTGGTAGAGCATGTGACTCTTG